GTGATGTACGTGGATAACATGTGACCATTGGGTTTCACACGTGGGACAACCAACTCTGACATTGTGAAGGAAGTTGAAGTTCCATCATAAAACCAACTGGAAAAACGAGGAATAACCCAACTTACCTATAAGCCCATGCAAATTCTCTTCTTCCATCAATGTCGGATTCACTCTCAATATAGGCATTGTATGAGATGTGCAATGTTTGTTTATTCATTTATATGAATTAATGAGAATAGAGACAAGAAATTTGCATACATCAATAATGATTTGATACTTGACCACACGATGTACCTATTTAGCTTTGTCAATTTACTGTGATAATGTGTATGCCCTTATTACTGTTGATACTCACCCCTCCACAAATATATTTTTTTGTAGGTTTACAAATTAGACATTGGTAAGATAGACGGATGAGATCAAATTAGATAGGAGGGAAGGAATTTTATTTCTTCTTGCAGTTGTAAGAAATTATTGGTTAATTTTACAAGAGGAATTTACTTTCATCCAATTTTAGGTTCTTTTTGTTTATTTAAATTTGACTCACACTTCAAATTCGAAATTGCATGACAGTTATTGCTAGAACTAACCCTGTTGTTTCTAGTCCAAAATTGCCCCCATACCCATCGTCGTCGCCAAACTCCGCTTTAGCTACGACTTCCGTTGCCACCACTTTATTTGCAATCGTGTCTACTATCATGCTATGTTATTATTAAGGGTAAATTACATAGTAGCCCCTCAGGTTTTAAGTCTATTACAATCGCATACAACAACTTCAAAACATTTCACTTTCATACCTCAACTACTATTTTATTTCAATATAGTACCTCCGTTACATTTTCCATCCATTAATCCGTTAAATGTTGACGTGACTGCCACATATATGCCACGTGGCTGCCAAATGTTTGCCACGTGGCAAATAAAATATTTTTTTTTTTGAAAAACCCAAATTTCTCAACAAAAAAAAAAATTGAAAAAAAAATTTGAAACCTATATCCCTTATCCCTCACCCACCCCCCAGCGAAGAAGAAAAAGGGAAAAAAAAGGGATACCCATATCCCTCACCTCTCCAGTGACCTCCCCAGAAACCTGCAAGAAGAAGAAGAAGAAGAAGAAGAAGAGGGGAGAAAAAAAAGAAAAAAAAAAGTCAAAGAAGAAGAAGAAGGAAAAAAAAAAGGGATACCCATATCCCTCACCCCCCCCCCCCCCAGCGACCTCCCCAGAAACCTGCAACAAGAAGAAGAAGAAGAAGAAGAAGGGAGAAAAAAGAGAAAAAAAAGAAAAGAAAAAACAAGCCCCAGTCTGTCCCACCCTAGCTACCCCTTTCTCCCATCCCCCATCACCCCTCCCAAAAATCCCCCATCACCCCTCCCAAAAATCCCTCATCACCCACCCCAAAAAATTGCACCCGAGATTAGGTGGATCTACCACAAAACCAGTCCAAATCATCTCAAACTCAAAGTATTTTCAAAACTCACCCACATTGAAAATTACGAGATATTGGCGCGCGCGTGGGGGGTGGGTGGTCGCTGGGGGGAGGAAGGGATTTGGCGACGCGGTGGGGGGGGTGTGGTCGTCAGAAGGTAGCCCGGGGGAGGAAGGGAGATGGGTCGTGGGTCGCGGCGAGGCGGGGGGGGGGGTGTGTGGTCGCCAAAAGGTAGCCTGGGTGAGGAAGGGAGGTGGGTTTGCGGCGGGGCGAGGGGGGGGGAGGGAAGGGTTCTGGGCTTTTCTTCTTCTTCTCTTATTCTTCTTTTTCTTTTTCTTCTTCTTCTTCTTCTTCTTCTTCTCATTCTTCTTCTTCTTCTTATGTTTCAATTTTTTTTTTAGGTTTCTGGGGGGTGGGTGAGGGATGAGGGATATAGGTTTTTTGTTTTATTTTTTTAAGAAAATTCAGATTTTAAAAAAAATTAAAAAATTAATTTTATTTGCCACGTGGCAGACATTTGGTAGCCACGTGGCATATATGTGGTAGCCACATCAACATTTAACGGATTAATGAATGAAAAATGTAACGGAGGTACTATATTGAAATAAAATAGTAGTTGAAGAATGAAAGTGAAATGTTTTGAAGTTGTTATATGCGATTGTAATAGACCTAAACCTGAGAGGCTACTATGTAATTTACCCTATTATTAATCTATGTGCTGTAATATGATCTTACACATATCAATTGGCAGCTATTGTTGTGACTGGCTTTTGAGGCCCCCTAATTTCATTTTGGACCTTTTAGTTGAGGATTGCTTGTGACTAATTTTACTGGTTACTTGTAATCTTTGATGTACTGTCTGGATTGGGGCTGTTTTGGCTCCAATCCCTGAAGATTACCATCGCAACTTTTCAAAAGAAAAAAAAATGCGTGACTATATGTGATGGTCACACCAAATAACTTATCTTGAATTTTAGTTGTACCTCCACATGTGTAACATGTATCATTTTATAAATTTTTACCAATGTATTATTTGACTATTTCTGAGAAGGTGAGTTTTTCTTATCTGATAGATATGAATAATAGGCGTTAATCATAACCAATGACTAAAATATCAATAATATCGCCGATATTATCGTTTTTCAGAGAGACCGATATTTTCCCATGTATCCCCCTAATTATCGTCAAAATATCGTAATATTATCGATAATATCGCGATATATTTGATATTATCGAAACATTCGTCGTGGCTCCATCGTCGGAAAGGCAGTCGAGGCTGCGTCGTCGCAGCTGCCCATATCTCTCTCTGCAATCCAAGCTCAGACCCAAGATCTGCGCCTCCGTCGTCAGAAATGAAAAATCCATTTTCTCACCCGCTCAGGTTTGATGGATCCTCCGCTTCGTACGACCTAAACAAGGCCTCCCATTGCCTGATGGTGCTCGCCGAGAGGTGAGAAAGGGATGAGGAACGGTCCACATGTGGTGATGGTGCTCACCGGAGTGTGCGCCACTGTGGTGGAGGTCATGGTGGGGTGTGGGTATGGTGTGTCTGTGCTCCGGGAAGGAGAATTGCAGAAAGATAGTTAAATTGAAGAGGAAAAGCAAAGAAAACCATATAATAAATGAAACCCAGAAGATAAAATGTTCAATTTCTTACCTAAGATTTCAAAGAAGAAGAGAGAGAGAAGGGCAAAAAAAAAAATGCATAAAACCCTAGAGAGAGTGCGTGTTTAGGAAATTTCGCTGAGGAGTGAGGAGATTGCTTTGCTAGAGGTTTCTGGAAAAAAGAGAAAGAGAGAGAGAGGGAGAAAGATTTCTGGGATTTTGTGTTTCAAGGAACTTCTCTCAAGGCAAGATTTTTACGGGCTGATAGGAAATAAGAGAGAGAGAGAGAGAGAGAGAGAGAGAGAGAGAGAGACTTATGGGATACGAAAAAGAAAATGTTAGATATAGGATTGGGAGTCTCAATTTGGGACCTTGGGGAGACTTATGGGATACGAAAAAGAAAATGTCAAATATAGGATTGGGAGTCTCAATTTGGGACCTTGGGTTATGTGAGGGAGGTGAGGTTGAGGGGTCACCATGTGGTTAAAGAAAATGTTAAACACTAATTTCATTCAAAATATCTTATGTTTATTATTTTATTTTTTTAAATTAAATTGTTTTATTTGGGAAATCCATCTTTGAGACCTTGAAAGTCTCTTTGAAGATCAGATCATGCTATATACTTGAAACTCTAACGTCACATATACTATTTTTTTGTAAAAAAAATAACATATTTTTCATGTCTTTCTTATATTGTAATAATTTATTATATAAATGATTATGGTGTGTTTAAACTTATTTCATTAATTACTACATATTTTCTACACTCACAATGTTTGCCAGCTCGCTATATAATCAACTTAAATCAGTTAAATCCATCATGTAATGCATTTCCTTCCAATTTTTTGTGATAAACTAATAGATAATTGACTAAATAAACATCCTGCAAAGTTTCAATAAAAATTTCCAGGTTTTTCTTACAATTTCCGTCGTTTTTATTCAATTTTTATCGATATCGATAATATCCCGATATTTTCATCGATATTTCCGTATTTTTGGACTACCGATATTTCCGATATCATCGATATTTTATACCTTGATCATAACGCATGGCTGGTATAGATTTACTGAGTCACAATTTATCCTCGGATTGACTAAAGTCTAAACTGAGCACGACCAAACGCATCTCAGTGGACAGAGCTGGCCTTAATTAATTCATCCAAAAAATTCGAGAAAAAAGGCTTAAATAGATGAATTTCCTGTGGTGATAGGGTAGTCAGAATATATAGGTCATGTGGTAAAAAATTATTAGGATTGAAACCCCTATAGTGAAGTCCGTAAGGATTGAAACTCACATGCTAACACAATGCTATCTTCTGACTGCTCTATCATCATGTGACTAATAATCCAATTAGGCCAAAAAAATAAAATCCAAAACTTTCCGAAACATTCGAGCAAATAAAACAAAGTCCAAAACTTCCAACTCTGAATGGAAAATCTTTGCTTTATTAGTAATGAAAAGAATCAATCAAAATGATGAAAACACATGAATATAAATTAGGTATTAAGTAGAATTAATTAAAGCTATAGAAGAAGATGGCCATCGCAGTGAGAGAAGAAGAGGCGTTGCGGTCCCACCAGCGATCATCATCTTCAGAAATGTTGATAGTCACCTTCTGCCCTACATCACTGCGGTGAGTATCTACCGTGCAGATGAAGTAACGGGTCACGTTGGAAGTCAGTGTAATACCGCAGGGCTGGAATCATAAAAATCAATAGGATGTGATATCTATACATCCCTTTTTATTTTTTTTCACATCTTTTTAGTTTTCGGTCATCAAATCGGATGAATTGAAAAAAATCAACAGACAGAAATTAACAAGAGATGTGTGAATAGTAAAAAAATGTGTGTGGATAGCACATCCAAAAACCAAGAGGGTTCGAATTTGAGCAGTCATCGTAATTGTTAGGACTCTTTGGGACACCATAGGTTACTAGTATTTATTAGGCCATTGCTAATGTTAAGCCCACTAGACTACTAAACCCTTACTTCACAGCCTCCGCCACCCACACCTCTCTCGAATTCGAACCGACGAACCATCTCCCATCTTCACTCCGACGAAACATCTCAACTCCCTCCACCACCCACAGCCACCCCTCTCTCTCTCTCACGATTCTCTCTCGCGATTCTCTCTGGATCCATCGCAGCATCCCCCAATCAGGTACAGTTTTGGAATTACTTTAGGGTTTGCAATTTAATTTTAGGGTTAGGGTTTTCAATTTAATTTTAGGGTTAGGGTTTTCAATTTAATTTTAGGGTCAGGGTTTGCAATTTAGTGGCGGCGCACCGAAAACAACATTCCCTTTCTTTTTTTTAAAATTTTTTTATTTATCTTTATTTATTTATGCTTTTGGAACGGGAAACGAAAGCATGGGAACACAAGCATATGATTCTGATTTCAGTCCTTCACTTTCCATCTTGACTGATTCACTCTGTCAATGTTTCTCTGTTTCTGATTTCAATTTGGGATTTTAAATCATATGATTCTTCTATTGCTTTTGGGATATTATATGATGAGACTGATTCTTCGATTTGGATTTAGGTATTTCAGTATCATCTGTTCGGCAACACAAGCACCCCCACTGCCATTTTTTCAGTCTGTGATCTGAACCACTGCTTTGCCATAACGGTCGATACTGCCATGACAGCCCACGAAGCCTCCTCTTCGTCCTCCTCCACTTCCAAACTCTGGAAGTACGACGTATTCTTGAGCTTCAGGGGTGAAGACACGCGCTATGGCTTCACGAGCCACCTCCACGCGGCATTAACAGCCAGAGGGTACCAGGTCTTTATTGATGAGGACGATCTACCAAGAGGGGAAGAAATAAAAGAGAAACTGTTCCGTGCAATCGAAGAGTCGAGGATCTCTGTCATTATCTTCTCAAAGATGTATGGGGATTCGAGTTGGTGTCTTGACGAGCTGGTGAAGATCATGGAGTGTAGAGACAAACTGGGGCGACATGTTTTACCAATATTCTATCACGTTGATCCTTCGCATGTCAGGAAGCAGGACGGAGATTTAGCCGAAGCATTTCAGAAGCACGAAAAGGACATCCGTGAAGAAAAAGATGACAAGAAACGTGAAGCTAAACAAGAAAGGGTAAATCAGTGGAGAGAGGCTCTCACAAAAGCTGCAAATTTGTCTGGCCACCATCTTCAAAGCGCTAATAATAGGTAATTATTCACCTGCTTTTCAAGATTTAAGTTGTAATACTCTAATTAACATAATCAATACACCTTAATCTCTCACGCTGATCCTTCACATGTCAGGAAGAGGCGGAGAGAGGCTCATACAGAAGCTACAAATTTGTCTGACCACCAAACAACTGGCAACGGGTAATCATTTACCTGCTTATTTCAAGATTTGAAACATTTTAGTGAATGACTTGATCTCTCAATTAATTAAAATGCTTAATTATATGAAGGGAAGAAGGAAAGAAAATTGTTTATGTACCGATATCTCCTACCGAGCCTTCATTGAGTCCCACTAATGCTAACGAATTCAATTTTCAGGCGCGAAGCAGAGTTCATTAAAAAAATTATTAACGAGAATATTTGTGAATGGCTCACTAGCACTAACGAATTACGTGTGGCCAAGCACATAGTTGGAATCGATTCTCGCGTTCAAGATATTATCACTTATCTTTCAAGTGGTGGATCAAATGATGTTCTCATGGTTGGAATTTGGGGGATGGGTGGATTGGTCAAAACAACAGTTGCCAAAGCCATTTATAACCAAATTCATCCTAAGTTTGAATTCAAAAGTTTCCTTGCCGGCATTCGCGATGCTACAAGTAAACATGATCTGGTTGATTTGCAAAAAAACTTATTTTTGACATCTTGAAAAAGAAGCCTGAAATAAGCTGTGTTGACGAAGGTATCGACCTGATAAAACAACAATTTCGACATAGAAAGATACTTGTCATCGTGGACAACATAGATAAAGAGGAACAACTGAATGCAATAGTTGGAAGTCATGATTGGTTTGGTCCTGGAAGTAGAATTATCATAACCACACGAGTTGAACGTCTACTGCAAGACCGAATCAGTAATCTGCAAGACCGAATCAGTAATTTACCTCACGAAATTCTTGTCCTTATAGTGTCACTCTTGCCGCTAAAGGAAGCCGCAGCCACTAGTATCCTTTCTAGGCCATGGCGCCATGTCTGGGCATTTACTACGACTCTCAGTTTTGACGCTGTTAACTTTGAAGTAGGTGATACTTTGCACCGGTTCTTGGATCTTGAAGAACAAGTGAGAGACCGGGAAAGCCGCCTCTACGTGAATTGGGTCGATCACGTTCTGGACCAACATAGAGGCCAATGCATTGACCGCTTCCGGGTTTGCTTTTTTCTGCAGCGCGACTTTGCAGGTTCCATTGACAAATGGATCCAATTTGCAATGGAAAAGAGGGTTCAAATACTTGAGCTGGAGCTTTTGACAGACTCAATTGTTTTCCTTGATGATAACTACACATTTCCCCACAAACTACTATTGGGTCCGGAAGAGCAAAAGGGCCTGTTTTCTAACCTTCCAAGCCTACACCCTGGTGGATACAGTATTGCGCCTTTCGAGTCCCTCAGAGTCGTACGCTTTCAACATGTTGGTGTGACCGGTGAAACTCTTGAGTTCTTGCTGTCCAACTGTCCAGTTCTCGAACGTTTGTCGCTGAGTTTTGCCAAAGATTTAGTCAAGCTAAGAGTTACCGGCACCTCCATGGCATTGAAATATTTAGAGGTGAAGTATTGCCTTGAACTCAGCATCATTGAGATATCTGGTGCAAACATTGTCTCCTTTATTTATTGTGGACAGTTAATAGATTTGCGATTGAATAATGTGCCCCTGCTGGTTGAGGTATCCATTTACAAGTGGGGCACTTTTGCTGAATTCGTAAGGCTTGCGTTAAGTCAACTCTCATGCTGTCTTTCTCATTTAGAGACCCTGAAGCTGGATATCAGGGGAGCGGTTAGCATACTTATCCCATGTTATTTGGTTGAGATCAAGTATTGTCGTGTCCCTAACTCAGTTGTTGTTGGCTTTCAGGTCTACAATCAGAATCATGCGTTTCCCGCGTTATCAAATCTCAAGCATTTGGAATTATTAGTGGATGCCGACTACTCTCTGTCTCTTGGTCGCTTAGCTTCTTTCATGGAGGCAGCTCCTTACTTGCTCAATCTTGTTTTGGGGGTATGTATGTATTGTATGCCTTTGTTATTGATAGGTTACCAATGTAAAAGTTGATATATGTATGAATATGTTTTTGTGCGTCCATATGCTCTAGTCTCTCTGTTGCCTGTATTCTTGAAGAAACAAAATAATAAATAACGGGGTTTGTTTTGAATCTGGTTTTGTTTGCTTTCCTTGTTGCAGTTGGGTTTCAGTACGTCCAATGAGGACATGGAAATACCAGAGAAAGTTTCCAAACAACCCCATCACTTCCTCAAGCTAGTAGAAATAGCAGGGTATCGGGGCCACGAGTGCTGCGTAGAGCATGTCAGATACTTGGTGGAGAATGCTGTTGCACTGGAGAAGATTATTATAAATCCTGTTCGGTTTTGGTGTCGGCCGACGGGAATTGAGAGCAATGCCCTACTGGAGAATGAGGAAGAGAATGCAAGAGATCATGCTATCCAACACCTCAAGAAAAAAGTACCTTCTAGTGTAGAATTTGTGTGCCTGTAGGAGTGCAGCGCCGCAGTGCTTCAAAAAAATTAACGTCTACAGTGCTTTTAAAAAAAAGTATATGTATTGCGTATGTTCTTAGATTTTCTTTGCTTTTTCTCTTCTATGTGATTTCTTATTCGTTTCGTATCAGTAATGGTAATTTGTACGTCATACTCGTATTCTTGCTGTATATACTACATCACAAGGGGCATTTAAGTACTTGAAAAACACAGGTTTTATGCATTGCTGCTCCGTCTTTCTGCCCTTCATATAGGAGGAATTTTACACGGGAACAATTTTTCTTGTTTTTGTTTTTATTGACGGTGGCAAGTTGTGGGTTGAACGCGAAATACATGTTGGATTTTGCAAATTGTTATATACAAAATATTTTCACACTTATTTGTCGTTAAGAATCGTGTAAGGTAGAAATCATAACATAGCCATGATCAACACCGCATTCAACGCAATTAAGAGAAAAACTAATGAATGTATCCGATTTAACACGAGATTGGAATTCATGATTAGACTAAAAATTGCTAACAAAATGTCTTGTTTCCAAGTGTTGAACACACTAATTTATATTTTCATTTTCATCACAGACAAATACTTTGCTTGTAATCTCCTTAATACCATCTCCTCCCTCTGCTGCAAAAGGTACCTCTCTTCTGTAATCGTGTCCCCAGAAGGTGCCATCCAACGCAAAGAGCGACACATGTCAGTTCTTGCGGCATCCAGTCGCCAGGGATGCTTGTATCAATTGTGGCTTTGACAGTAGCTTGGCGAACCCATGTAAGGCGACGCTGGGGAGGGCTGTTGATATATTTTAACTTGTGGCAATCTCTCAGGTTCAAACCTCTAGGGGGAATATCCTAAGACGCGTATGTAATAGATTCAAGATTCCTAGTGTTAAAAACCATAACAAAATGAGCCTTACAGTGTATAAGTTGCAAGGATTTGAGACTGGAACTTGAAACACGCAAGCAGCAATTTATTACTTCGGGGGATTCGAAAGAACATGAAGTTAATGACAAACACTCGATGGAAGGGCAACCACGAGTTAAGCAGAGGACTGTGCTACTTCTTTTGAAGATAACAGCTTTCAGGGACTGTTTTCAAGGAGAGAAAAATCGGATCCCAAATTCCCAACATACGTCTAATCTCACATACTCCAAGTTTAGACTAGTTAAAAGTTTTGCATTGAAAAGGATTTGGCTAGGCATACGTAGTATCCGGTTCGTTGCATCATCGTCGTTGTCATCATCATCATCATCTAATCTTGTTGAGGCCCAAGACTGACATCTAACGTTTTAACGTTTCTCTCCACCGCAACACTCAACCACTTGTGTCCACGCTAGTATCCTCTATTAACTTAAGAGCCGTACGATGACATCTCTCTCTTTCAGCACACAACTCATCCAAACGTTTCAAACACCTTTCCAAGAAGTTAATGAACAATTCTGCACGTCGAACGAGTTCGTCTTCCTCATGAAGATCACTGCACGAGTGGTCTAAGCCCTCATCGTCGAATCTAACACGGGGACTTCCAAATGTTGGAGTATGTGGCCAAGTGGCCAACTTTTGGCTATAAGCAATTCAAAAGAAAAAAAAACAACATGATGATGTTTCTTCCTTGTTTTGGGGAAAAGAAAAGCACACTTTGTCTAAAGTTTTTCTTTGGTCCATGTGAGAAGTCACGGGAGTCCTAGGGTTTTTAACTAGCAGCAATAGCTGCCTTTTGTTGTGGGAGAAAGGCTGTCACATAGAAGAAGAAAAGAGAAGGGAGTAGCAGAAAGTAGGATAGTGCACCATTTTATGTTTTAGTAGCCCATCTTTGTGAGAGGAAAAGAAGCTGCAGAGAGCAGAAAACTAAGAGTAGAAAGAGAAGAAAGAAAGGTGATTTTCTTTTTTTGTAGGTACTCACTCAATCAAAGTTGTATTTGTGTATTAGCTTTGAGCTTTGTATATAGAGGAAATTATTCACTATATTTCCCTCTCTATTTGTTTCTTTGGTGAGTGAGAGCTATTGGGTGTATTGGGTTATTTGGGTTGTGAGATTGCCAACACTTTGTAAACTCCCATTTGGTTGATAGTGGATTATTGGGTGAGCTCCTACTGCTCCGAGGACGTACTCCAGTTACACTGACTGTTGAGGAACCTCGTTAAAATCTTGGTGTTCTTTAATATTTTGTTCTTGCATTTCATTTGGTAAATTTCCTGTGGGTTAGCTTGAGTTGGTTCCAACGGGTTTGGTGCTATCCTAGCACAACAATTGGTATCAGAGCACTGGTTGCTCTTGGGTACTATCTAGTTGCCAAAGATGTCAGACGGGCAAGATGAGAATCCTTTTGGAAGTAGCTCCGGGTTTGCAAGAACTACGGTGCAAAATGCAAAGTTCGAAGTGGAAAAGTTTGATGGCACAAACAACTTCGGGATGTGGCAATGTGAGGTCAAAGATGTGTTGGCTCAACAAGATCTAATTGCCGCTTTGGGAGAGAAGCCGGAAACTATGTCGAAGCCGGAATGAGAGAAATTAAATTTGTGGGCTTGCTCTTCAATTCGGTTGTGCCTTGCAAAAACTCAGAAGTATTTTGTGATGCGGGTGACATTAGCAAGTGTGTTGTGGCAAAAATTGGAAGACAAGTATATGACGAAGAGTGCAGAGAACCGGCTACACTTGAAGAAAAAGCTCTACCGCTTCCAATACAAAGAAGGTACAAAAATGATTAGACACCTTGATGCTTTTAATAAGTTGATTGCCGACTTATTAAATTTAGATGAGGATATTAAGGATGAAGATAAGGCCTTAATATTGTTGAATTCCTTGCCGGACTCTTATGAGCATTTTGTTACCACTATTATGCATGGTAAAGAAACTGTGAAATTTGAAGATGTGTCAAATGCCTTGATGAATTATGAAATGAGGAGATAAAAACCATGATAGTACCTCTGAAGCTTTATTTGTTAGAGGTAGATCATCGGAGAGAAGATCATCTTCTAGTAGGAAAAAATCACAGTCTCGACCTAGAGGAAACTCTAAAGGTAGAAAACCTTTGGAAAGGGATGAATGTGCCTTTTGTCGTAATAAGGGCCATTGGAAGAAAGATTGTCCTAAATTGAAGACCAAAGGCAAAGAAAGTTCTGAAGCTAATGTTGCTGAGGTTGAAACAGATTTTTCTGATTTTGCTTTAACCACTTCCTCATCATTTGATTGTGCTACTAAGTGGGTGTTGGATACGGGTTGTACTCATCATATGACTTCTCACAAGGATTGGTTTTCAAGCTTGAAAGAGTTTGATGGTGGCGTTGTGTTCATGGGAGATGACAATCCTTGCACAACAAAAGGGATTGGTACAGTTCGTTTGAAGTTGCATGATGCATGGTTAAAGAGTTGACAGGTGTTCGGTATGTACCGAATTTGAAGAAAATCTTATTTCTTTGGGTACTTTGGAATCCAAGGGTTTCAGGTTTCATTCAGATGGACATACATTGAAAGTTACTTATGGTGCACTTGTTGTGATGAAAGCTCATAGATGTGGCCATTTGTATTTATTGCAGGGAAGCACTGTGACAGGTGAAGCATCTGTAGTCTCTGAAAATATGGGCACATCTGATTCAAATACTACTAGATTGTGGCATATGAGATTAGGCCATGCCGGTGAGAAAGCTCTCTACAAGGGCTTGTGAAAACAGGTCTTTTAAAAGGTGCCACGACTTGTAAACTTGATTTCTGCGAGCATTGTGTCTTGGGGAAGCAAACTAGAGTGAAGTTTGGTACTGATGTACATCAGACGAAGGGCATTCTTGATTATGTGCATTCGGATGTTTGGGGTCCTACAAAGACTCCCTCTTTGAGTGGTAGACATTGGTTCGTGACCTTTGTTGATGATTATTCAAGAAGGTCTTGGGTCTACAACTATATGAAGCACAAGAGTGAGGTGTTAAGCATTTTCTTGGGATGAAAGAAAATGGTTGAGAACCAGACTGGGAGAAAGATTAAGATTTTGAGATCGGATAATGGTGGTGAATACACATCCGACCCTTTCTTTAAAGTTTGCAAAGAGGAAGGAATTGTGAGACATTTTAGTGTTCGGGGAACTCCACAACAAAATGGAGTTGCAGAAAGATTGAATCGAACCTTGCTTGAGAAGGTTAGATGTATGTTGTCTCAGTCGGGTTTAAGCAAGTCATTTTGGGTAGAGGCAGTTAATTATGCATGTCACATCATCAACCGATTACCCTCAGCTGCTATTCAGGGTAAGACACCAATGGAGGTATGGACTGGAAAACCTTCTTCTGATTATGACTATATCCGTATTTTTGGTTCACCTGCTTATTTTCATGTGACTGAAAATAAACTTGATCCTAGAGCCAAAAAGGCTATCTTTCTTGGTTTTAGTAGTGGTGTCAAAGGTTACAGGTTGTGGTGCCTAGAGATGAAGAAACTTGTAATCAGTAGAGATGTGACATTTGATGAAGAAAGTATGTTCAATGACTCTGAGAAGAATGTGAAAGATGTCCAACAGGTGGAGCTTGAGAAAGTTGCCTCTGGTACTTCAAATCCTATTTCCGCTGATGTCGATGCCACTACAAGTGAAGAAGTTGGAGACCATGAGGATGTTGAAGAAGTTGAACTTGAAGATTCTATTCAAGTTGAAGAGGAAGTTTCACCTCAAGAGTCTATTGCCAAGAACAGAGGAAAGAGACAAATTACCAAGCCAGCTCGGTATAGTGACTATGTTTCTTTTACTCTTCCTATTATCACTGATGAAATTCCATCTAATTTCGAGGAAGCCATTGAGAGTGAGGAGGGAGAGGTGGTGCAATGCCATGGGTGATGAGATGAATTCTCTCTTGAAGAACAAGACTTGGGAGTTAGCTAAATTGCCTAAGGGCAAGAAAGCTATCGGTTGCAAATGGGTGTATGCCAAGAAGGAAGATGCTGATGAGAAAAGCAATGTGAGATTCAAAGCAAGATTAGTTGCTAAAGGGTATGCACAAAAGGAGGGCATTGACTACAATGAAATATTTTCTCTGGTTGTGAAGCACTCCTCAATTCGTATTATGTTAGCTTTTGTTGCACAATATGATCTTGAGCTTGTGCAACTTGATGTGAAGACGGCTTTCCTACATGGTGATTTGAATGAAGAGATTTATATGTGTCAACCGGATGGGTATATAGTGAAAGGGAAGGAGAACTTGTTTTGCAAATTGAAGAAATCACTATATGGCTTGAAGCAATCTCCAAGACAATGGTATTTGAGGTTTAATAAATTTATGAGAGGCCAAAATTATTCTAGAAGTCAATATGATCATTGTGTGTACTTCAAGAAGTTGCAAGATGGGTCTTTCATTTATTTGTTGATATATGTTGATGATATGTTGATTGCCTCAAAGAATTTTGAAGAGATTGAAAAATTAAAGAAGCAAATGAAGAATGAGTTTGAGATGAAGGATCTTGGTGAAGCGAAGAAGATCCTTGGCATGGAAATCACTAGAGATAGAGAGAAGGGTTTGGTCAGTTTGAATCAAAGACAATACCTTGAGAAGTTGATTCGGAAGTTTGGAGTTCATGATTCAACTAAACCGGTTAGTACCCCTTTGGCTCCTCATTTAAAATTGAGTTCTCTACAATGTCCTAAAAATGATAAAGAGAAGCTGCAAATGAAAAATATACCATATGCAAATTTGGTTGGTAGTTTGATGTATGCAATGGTATGCTCTAGACCGGATATTGCTCATGCAGTTGGCATGGTGAGTCGATATATGCATAATCCAGGTAAAGAGCATTGGCAAGCAGCTAAGTGGATATTGAGGTATCTCCATGGTACTCGAGATGTTGGTTTATGCTTTGAGAGAGATGACTCTGGTATTGGTCATTTTGCAGTTGGTTATGTTGATTCAGATTATGCAGGTGATCTGGATGGAAGGAAGTCTACTACAGGCTATGTGTTTACTATGGCTAAAGGGCCAGTTTGTTGGATGTCCATTTTGCAGTCGTCTGTTGCCTTGTCTACTACAGAGGCTGAATATATGGCAGTTGCTGAAGCTATAAAGGAGGCCATTTGGATACATGGGCTGATTAGAGATTTGGGGGTTGATCAGAAACAGGTGGAGGTACATTGTGATAGTCAGAGTGCCATTTATTTGGCTAAGTATCATGTTCATCATGCGAGGACCAAGCACATAGATGTGCGTTATCACTTTGTTCGTGAAGTTGTTGGTGAAAGGGAAATCATTCTCCAGAAGATTCCAACTAAAGACAACCCCGCTGATATGTTGACTAAGGTTGTTGGTGTAGCCAAGTTTGTTCATTGCTTGAACTTGGCTCACATTTTGCCTATATAAAGAAGGCGTTGAGCAATAGGAGTTTTGGAGCATTTAGCTATGCATGAGTTGTTCTCTTGCTAGTGTTTGGGAGTGTTTTTGTGTTGGTTGGCTTATCACGGTGATTTCGGAACTTGGCCAAGGTGGAGATTGTTGGAGTATGTGGCCAAGTGGCCAACTTTTGGCTATAAACAATTCAAAAGAAAAAAAGACAACATGATGATGTTTCTTCCTTGTTTTGGGGAAAAGAAAAGCACACTTTGTCTAAAGTTTTTCTTTGGTCCATGTGAGAAGTCACTGGAGTCCTAGGGTTTTTAACTAGCAGCAATAGCTGCCTTTTGTTGTGGGAGAAAGGCTGTCACATAGAAGAAGAAAAGAGAAGGGAGTAGCAGAAAGTAGGATAGTGCACCATTTTCTGTTTTAGTAGCCCATCTTTGTGAAAGGAAAAGAAGCTGCAGAGAGCAGAAAACTAAGAGTAGAAAGAGAAGAAAGAAAGGTGATTTTCTTTCTTTGTAGGTACTCACTCAATCAAAGTTGTATTTGTGTATTAGCTTTGAGCTTTGTATAGAGAGGAAATTATTCACTATATTTCCCTCTCTATTTGTTTCTTTGGTGAGTGAGAGCTATTGGGTGTATTGGGTTATTTGGGTTGTGAGATTGCCAACACTTTGTAAACTCCCATTTGATTGATAGTGGATTATTGGGTGAGCTCCTACTGCTCCGATGACGTACTCCAGTTACACTGACTGTTGAGGAACCTCGTTAAAATCTTGGTGTTCTTTAATATTTTGTTCTTGCATTTCATTTGGTAAATTTCCTGTGGGTTAGCTTGAGTTGGTTCCAATGGGTTTGGTGCTATCCTAGCACAACACCAAAGACCACAAGTATGCCCACTGCTTGGACACAAGGCTCGCGCTTATGGCGAGTTTTGAGCTGGAAGGTTTTATGGATGGCTAGGACGGTCAAGTGAGGTTGTAGTAGTGGTGGTGGTGATGTGTCCACAAGCATCCGACGATGGGTCTGTAAAGAAGCACTTTGCGGCTGGAACGATGTGTAGGGGGTTCTTTTGATACAATGTCGAATCTTCTTAATTACGAGAGAACATTCTTTTTATGTAGCTACGATGTGCTAGTGTATTGGTGCTTCGAGTGTTAGTGTTGTACTGGAGTATAATGTACCATTCCGATGATATGTAATGTACTACTCTGTCGATTTGAAAAAAAAACTTGTACGCACACCTATTGAAGAAAAATTTGAGTCAATTGTAACAAAACTCAAGGTTGAAACTTTGTCGAACTAAGGTCGGAACTTTGTTCGAACGATTACATAGGACAAGTAGAAAGAACGAGAATTCACATGTAAGTGAGGAAAGAAAAAATTAAAAACCAAAACAAAAAGAAGAAAGAATTGACATATTTGGAGATTGCGACGTCAATTAAAGAGCCAATTCTCAGAGAGGAAGCACCGGAGGCTGGTGGTGGCGGTGGAGCGGAAGCAGGAGAGAGTAGGGAAATCCGACGGTGAGATTGACCTTTTGGCCCCGCTCGTAGTTATCACCAACGGAAGAGATGAAGTAGCTTATAAAAATTAATTAATAAATGAACATTTATTGTAATATAGCTTATTTTATAATTAAAATAGAGGATTAGACGATATTAATTTCTTGGAAACGACTGCTAAGCTTAAGCGACGAAGGAAATTACTGCTACAAGTGTGGGGATGAGCCCAACGAAAGTACGAAGAGTAGTGGTAGTGAGAGATGAAGCGTGGGAGGATGGTGGTGGAGGAGCTAACAGAGAAGAGGTGGTGGTTGGTGATCCAACGGTGATGCTGACCTTTTGGCCTTGCTCGCGGTGGTCACCAACGGTGCAGATGAAGAAGCGGGAACTGGTAGAATTGAGTACCGTCCTTACTCCTGGTCCCAGTACGATCCCAGGGTCACTACTGCAGCTATCATATTCTTCGTTTGTTGCTATTTCCCCCACATTATGGTCCCACGTTTCAGTCCAATTGAACACTGCAATGCCAAAAAATCACAACAATAAGTTAACAACAAAGATATATAAATACTCATATGAACTTGGACACAAGAGCCAGGAATAATTAATGCCCCGGTTCGGTTACCTGACCTAACTTCCGTCTAGTTGTTACTGGAAATTGGAAAGCGCACTTACCGACTTTATCTCCTATTTGGAATGTCTTTGAGGCAGCGCAGTCGGAGTAAACGGAGGTGTATAAGGGCAAGCCACCGCCATACTCACCAAGCAAGCCATCATCATATTAATATCTCTGCGACTGCCCATATCCTTACGCATGGTGAATATTTTGATCGGCGTACGTGTTTTTCGGCGATCTGCAAGTACTTTTTCTTGGATCGACGTACGTGTTTTTCCTTTTTCGTTTATAAATATGCATGCGTACGATTTATGAAATCAATTTTCTAATAAATTAAGCATATATGTTGTATGTGTGGCGGGAAAACCTTGAAAACTTTGAACAAGTTGAATATAACCCTGCATTGCCTGGTGATTTTGATGCACTCTAAAAGAAAAAAGAAGAAAGAAATCACCAAGTTTTACCAGTTCCATCGTCCCAGAGTCAAAGACTTACGGGTTCATTGAGGGATGCCGTTGCACTCCCACACACGACCTGGTCTATGAATCTACGATTTCTTCTCTTTAACTTCTAGTTTTCAAAGAACTAGTATCTTTACTCTTTCGCAACTCTACATGCTTGCTATACTTTAAAGTATAAACGCGTTGTTTATTCATATTATAACACATAACTCTAGCCTCAACAACACTCAACCGAAAAATTATCTAGTAGGGAAGGAATAAAAAAGAAACCAAATTACACGTGTGAAAGATGTCTTTTTGCCCTTGATCTTGTCCTTGCCCTCCTAAAACGGATGGACTTGCTCTAAGCTGCCATTTGTATTCAGACATGCCCTGGTCTAAAAAGACTCTAATTAAGCTGACTGCAGTCGTTTGAGTTCAAGTGAGGTATGCAAAGGATAATGTTTTCAACTTCAAAAGTTTACTTAACCCTCGTCACAAACGGGTGCCAAATCCGTGGCTATAAGTATCATATTTTGGCTTTCTCCTTCTGCACAAATATTCAAATATCCAAATCACACCCTGATTAGTACCGTGCCAACTGGATCACATTGACGTGAAGCTGGCCAACATGGCCAGAAGCTAGTCAGTAGCGTTATCGCCGGAACTAAACCTATCGATCCTAGTCCGACTCTATCCCCACCAGCACCGCCGCCGCCAAACTCCACTTACCAGCTCTAACACCTGTTGCCACCGCTTGTTCTATTTGTTATCTCCACCATAGTCATGTCTTTCTTCTTGTACTTACATCTAAATATTAACTCTATAACGTGTATATTATTATTTTTATATCAGTAATGCTAATTGATCACATCTATATCGAATATGATAATGCTTGTGTCCTTTACATGGGGGACTTACTTGTTCCACCAATTACGATTAACGAACTTTTACCATATGAACATCATAATCAAAATCATTTATTATCTTTATCATTATCTAAAGATTATATGTGCAAAAAAAAAAAAACATTCAATTTGAGATGTTTTAGCCATTCACATGTATAAAACAAATGGACGTTTTATCATAAGGATGTTGCTTGTTACCAAAACCGTTGATTGGCATAATCGTAAGTAAGGGGACACAAGCATTATCCTATAAAATATATGACCGCTTTTGTTAGAAGGTGATCAACCATAACATATGGTGATGTGTGATTAATTTAAAATATTATCACTCTAGCTGTTCTAATTTCATGTAAATTCTTCTCTTATTAGAGAAATGATACATAATGTAGAACAAGGAACACCATTCTATATATTAATTTATCAAAAGTTTTGTTAAGAAGGTTCTATCGATCATACAATAAAAGCGTTAATCATACCGCAAGGAACAAAATTATTTAAACTTATACTGATTGACCAGGCCCAGCTCAATTGACAAAGCTAGGCTTAATTTTGCACATTTGGGGGCCTTATATTCCACATCGCAATTTGATATGTAATAGTACATTTTGTGGAAATGTGAGACCAAATTATGCAACGTTTATAAAAAGTTGGGTTATTTTTTTTTATCAATTTTTTTTATTGTGGAATTTCAATTTTCTTTATGGTATCAGAGCAGGTCGGCTCACCTGTGATGTACATTGGCCATACGTGCTTCACGTCCTCCAATTTATGTTTTTCATGTGTTAGACTTGAAAATTCGCCACACGTGGGAGCGTGCGAGAATGTGAGAACAAAGTCCTACATCGGTGACGGACCAAAACCATGCAAGGGAATTGAACTACTTTTCATATTGTCAATTATTTTTAAGATGAAACCTCAGCTTTCTTCGCATTCAACATTTCCAAAAGAAAAGAATATCAATAAACATAATCTGCAGAAACAGCATAACATGAATTGTAAATGAAGTAAGTACATTTAGTTAATGCTAAGGAAGGAGATGACTAGTGCAGTGCAGAGGATTAGGGCAACAATATTAAGGCTGAGAGAAGAAGCGCCGTTCCATTCCCACCAATGATCATCATCATCGTTATCTCCTGATGAAGAATAATCTCCTCCAATTCTGATAGTCACCTTCTGCCCTAATCTACTGCAGTGACTATCTTCCGTGCATATGAAGTAACGGGTCAAGTTGGACGTCAGTACAATTCTTGTAGGGCTGGAATCATAGAAACCAAGAGGGTTGTCCTTTGAGCAGCTATCGTAATCAGCCTGTGTTACTTCAGCTACTCTGTGTTCCCCGCTCCATTTGAATTCTGCAAAATGATTGAGAGATAAAGTTAAGCTGATGTTCATCAATAAGAAAGGATAAACTCTCTTTGAAGGAAGAGATGATGCGCTGTGAACACCTCACTTATACTCAAATTTCTTCGTTTTTAAATCTCACTAATGGACATTGTTGACTATTAGGGTAACAAGTGGTCCTCTAGAACTTCGATTTTAAGTCCTAACTAACAATTTTGGTCTACTTAAAACCTAAATCAAAGTGATTATTAACCAATTCGAGACTAAAATTTCTAGTCTCAAATGATGATTTTACACCCTAAAACTTCAACCATGTTAACAAATGGGATAAAAGTTGAAGACAAATGAGTATAAATAGGATTTTCTCAATATGTAATGTTTTTAAAGACATGACGTCATGCACAAAGACGGACTGAATAAAAGGCCAATTTGAATGATGATTTAGAGGTAAGAAAGTCGGTTGTGAACTAATTAACTTACGACTTACCTATTGTATCACCAATCTGAAATCTCTTTGCGTTAGCCCAGGTGGAATAGGCAACAGAGCCAGCTGGAGGAATAGTCCAGCCTAAATCATCCCCAACTTTGTAGGTTTCAGCTGTGGCACCCTTCCACAAGGCCACTACAACAAGAAGCAAACAACCGATCAATCCCTTCTGACTCACCATTTACTCAATCTCTTCTTTCTCTTTGGAAGTGTTTTGGTGTATGAATCAGTTATTAATGTCGACTACTTATACACAAACAGAATAATGAGCAAAAGATAGAGTTCGCAGCGGGTGCCTTTAGGAAGGGAGTTCCTATTGTTTTCAAATAAGGCGGCTGAAGCTAACTTTAACTGATCAGAGGTTTGACCATATTGTATATCGACCTTTTTTCTTTTGAGAATAAAACGTGTTCTTCTGGAAGCAAAGAGCAAAACATAAGGATTATTGTACAACCTTAGGATATTATTAATGTGTACCAACGTTGACTAAAGTTAGTGAATAGAGAAAGTGATGTACATCAGATGGCTGAAACTAGCTATCAACATTAATGTCACGGACTTGAGATCGGCAAAAACTATGAATTCAAAATGCGAGTAAATTTAAATAGATAAAAATCTAAAATGAAAGAAAATATAGGGGAATTTGGGGTTGGAGACAAATAGTTAGACAAAATTACTAACAAAAAGAGAATGAGATTATTGGAAAGGGTTTAATTAGTTCATATGGTTAAGCAATTGGGACCTAGTGGTATAGCTAAAAGAAAGTTGAGATTATACAATAAACTAATTGACAACACATGGAGTACACAACTTGTTTTTAAACCCATGTAAGATCCATTCTCCAATTAATGTGAGATTCATTCTCAACGCACTTCATCACATGCGACGAACCCTCTTAGAAATAAAAACTAGATTTGCCTAACTCCTTCAACCTATTGGTCAAGTTACTTGTTTCCACTTGCCTTACAAGTCGAGCCGAGCATATATGTGCAATACAAATTTGGTGACGTGGAGCATGTGTGGTATTTGGGCTTGACACATGAGACAACATGCTTTGATAGCCTGAAAAAAGTTGAGGTTCCACCATAAAATCAATTAACAATATTGAGAGTAGCTCAATTTCTTATAAACTCATACAAGGTCCCTTCTCTCATCAAGGAGGGATTCATTCTTAACAGGCTTCTTCATGTGTGGCGGATTTTCAAGCCAAACATGTGAACAACACAAGAAAGGTGATGTGCGTGGATAACATGTGACCATTGGGTTTCACATGTGGGACAACCAACTCTGACATCGTGAAGTAAGTTGAGGTTCCATCATAAAACCAACTGGAAAAACGAGGAATTACCCAACTTACCTATAAGTCTATGCAAATTCTCTTCTCCCATCAATGTGGGATTCACTCTTAATATAGGCATGGTATGAGATGTGCAATGTTTGTTTATTCATTTATATGAATTAATGAGAATAGAGACAAGAAATTTGCATTGTAATTTGCATACATCAATAATGATTTGATACTTGACCACAAGATGTACTTATTTAGCGTTGTCAATTTACTGTGATAATGTGTATGCCCTTATTACTGTTGATACTCACCCCTCCACAAATATTTTTTTTGTAGGTTTACAAACTAGACATTGGTAAGATAGACGGATGATATCAAATTAGATAGGAGGGAAGGAATTTTATTTCTTCTTGCAGTTGTAAGAAATTATTGGTTAATTTTACAAGAGGAATTTACTTTCATCCAATTTTAGGTTCTATTTGTTTATTTAAATTTGACTCACACTTCAAATTCGAAATTGCATGATAGTTATCGCTAGAACTAACCCTGTTGTTTCTAGTCCAAAATTGCCCCCATCCCCATCGTCGTCGCCAAACTCTGCTTTAGCTGCGACGTCCGTTGCCACCACTTTATTTGCAATCGTGTCTACTATCATGCTATGTTAATATTAATCTACGTGTTGTAATATGATCTTACACATATCAATTGGCAGCCATTGTTGTGACTGGCTTTCGAGGCCCCCTAATTTCATTTTGGACCTCTTAGTTGAGGATTGCTTGTGACTGATTTTACTGGTTACTTGTAATCTTTGATGTACTGTCTGGATTGGGGCTGTTTTGGCTCCAATCTCTGAAGATTACCATCGCAACTTTTCAAATTGAAAAAAAAATAAAAATGCGTGACTATATGTGGTGGTCACACCAAATAACTTATCTTGAATTTTAATTGTACCTCCACATGTGTAACATGTATCATTTTATAAATTTTTACCAATGTATTATTTGACTATTTCTGAGAAGGTGAGTTTTTCTTAACTGATAGATATGAATAATAGGCGTTAATCATAACGCATGGCTGATATAGATTTACTGAGTCACAATTTATCCTCGGATTGACTAAAGTCTAAACTGAGCACGACTAAACCCATCTCAACGGACAGAGCTGGCCTTAATTAATTCATCCAAAAAGTTCGAGAAAAAAGGCTTAAATAGATTAATTTCATGTGGTGATAGGGTAATCAGAAGGTATAGCTCATGTGGTAAAAAATTATTAGGATTGAAACCCCTATAGTGAAGTCCATAAGGATTGAAACTGACATGCTAACACAAGGCTATCTTCCTACGACTCTATCATCATGGGACTAATAATCCAATTAGGCCAAAAAATAAAATCCAAAACTTTCCGAAACATTCGAGCAAATAAAACAAAGTCCAAAACTTCCAACTCTGAATGGAAAATCTTTGCTTTAGTAGTAATGAAAAGAATCAATCAAAATGATGAAAACACATGAATATAAATTAGGTATTAAGTAGAATTAATTAAAGCTATAGAAGAAGATGGCCATCGCAGTGAGAGAAGAAGAGGAGTTGCGGTCCCACCAGCAATCATCATCTTCAGAAATGTTGATAGTCACCTTCTGCCCTAGATCACTGCGGTGAGTATCTACCGTGCAGATGAAGTGACGGGTCACGTTGGAAGTCAGTGTAATACTTGCAGGGCTGGAATCATAAAAACCAAGAGGGTTCGAATTTGAGCAGTCATCGTAATCTGCTCATCGTAATTGTTAGGATCCTTCGGCCACCATAGGTTACTAGTATTTATTAGGCCCATTGCTAATGTTAAACCCACTAAGACTACTAAACCCTAACTATTCTTTTGTGTATTTAAACTACTATGTTCATCTAAATGGCATGAATGAAGATATGAATTTAATTTCCTTTAATTTTCTTTTCCATTTCCTGCATTACTTTTCTTGCAATTTACCTTTACCATGTATGATCCTATCAGTAATCAACCTTTGATACTTCGGCTACCGTATGAGATCCACTCCACTTGAATACTGCAAAACAATTTTAGAAAAATAAATAAACAGATGTTCACCAATCAAAAGGAGAAATTTTCTTTGCAGAAATTCATTTAAAGGATCGATCCAGGTTCTAATTTGAAGAAATAGAGATCACTCTTATAAAAATCTCCGCCTAGCATCTCTTAGGCCATTGCCTAGACGCTAGACGGTTGGCCATTGCCACAATTAATCACTAGGTGTTTGAAAATTAAGAAAGAGTGTCTAGACCTGCCTAACTGTTTTAGTTGCGACTCTCACTTAAACACAAAATAAATAAATTTCATTTTGCATTTTATTTTTTCAATAAATTGTAAGAGACTTATTGAATATTTAGTCGAAGACTCAATTTATGCTTGTTCTTCATGTTTAAATATGTTCTAATAGTTTATAATTTATATGTCATTCTATTTTGTAATTTATGTATCTAAATACAATTACGTATTTTTAAGTATAAGTAAACATTTATTTATATGTTATATAATAAAGTTAATCAAAATTAAAAAAAAAAACCACCTAGGTCTCCGCTCAACTAGTGCCTAGCACCAACCTTGATTGAGATTTGTCTATAAAGACATGACGTCCTGCACAGATCTAAACTGATCAATAAGAAATAACAAATATTAATGAAGATTTAGAGAAATAATTTTTTAGTTATCTATTGTATCATTAATCTGAAATCTCTGTGTTAGCCCATGTGGAGTAGGCAATAGAGCCACCTAGAGGAATAGTCCATTCTAAATCGTCTCCGACTGTGTAAGTATCAGCTGCGGCACCGCCGAACAAGGCCACTGCAACAAGAAGAAAGCAACCAACCAACCTCATAAGACTCACCATTTCTCTCCTGTGTGTTCTTCTTTACGTCGTCCCTGGCTACAAACCCTAATTTCTTCTTTTACTCTTTGCAATTTTTTTTTATGTGTGTAGATGATTATTGATTTAACGTCGACTACTTGTACAGAAGTGAAGGGTGACCAAAAGCTATAGAATTTTATTATTTTCGACATTTCGAAAGCGAGTTTCATTGTTTTCCAACGTGAACAGATAATCTAGAAGTTTGACCTTCTTACACACACACACGCACGCACGCACGCACGCGCACGCGCGCATATATATATATATATATATATATATATATATATATTATTTTCTTTTGAAAAATAGTTAAAGTGTTTTTCTAGAAGCAAAGACCGAAAAGACTAGTATAATATTGTACAATCTAGCAAGAGTCATAAATTTTGGATTTAACCTCGAATTCCCAACAGGATCCTTTTCGATGAGAATCTTGAAAGGAAAACTAATGAAAAGGGCTTGAAAACTTTGAGTTTTAATGATAAGGACAAAATAAAGGGTAAAGTGAATAGTACCAGAATTGATTTTTTAGTGTAAAAATGTGGTTTTTCGTTAAAGTGAACAGTACCGGGTGCTTTTCGTTAAAGTTCCCTATCTTGAAAATTCGTTAATCGTGTTCGTTTATTGTACATTGTGCCATCAGTTTTTATCAGGTATTATTTGTATTTAATTTTAAATAAAAATATTTAAAATAATTTCTGATCACATGATGTACGATGAATAGACACGATTTACGAATTTTTAGAGTCCACATAAAGAGAATCCGAATTCCTCAAATTCAACCTTTTTCTTTTTTTTTCCCAGGTTTTCTGGGTGCAATTGAATAAAGCAAATTAAAAAAAAAAAAAACTACGTAAGTTCTTCATCATCTTGTTTTTCCGTATTTAGTAATTTGTATATATAGTAAACTTGATCTGTTTCTACTTTTTTAGTATATCGCCTTTACAACAAGAATTTTTTTTTATCACGACCCTAAAGTAATGGTGATACTCATCATCTTATGGATTCGAACCCCGTTAATGATTAATCTAATAAAATCTATCATTTGACAAAAAAATAAAAAAAAAGTAATGATGATGCTCATTACCTTATTTATCATCATTATATGCATTTAAATTTAGAAATTTGTATAGATGATAGATACAAATCTCAAAATTTTAATTCATCTAACAATGATAAATAAAGTAGTGAACATTATCACCACTTGAGAGTAATTAACATTATCATCACTTGAGGGTGTAAACAAAAATACACCCCTTATAACAATGTGAAACGTATATTGCCAAGAGACTAAATTGTAATCAAACGAAATGGAAAGGTGTAGGCAGGCATCATGGCCCAAGTCAAATATTTTGACTTGAACTAGGTGCGTTTTGTATTGTTGCCACGTTGATGTATTTATTACTTGGGCTCCAATATAGATGGATATCACAATGAGAACGTATATATATTACGGGGCTGTGATATCCACACATTTTATTTTATTTCTTACATATTTTTTTAATTTTTTACCGTCAGATCGGATGAATTGAAGAAGATCAACGAACATAAATTATTAAGGGTGTGTGAGAAGTAAAATGAGGTATGTGAATAGCACACCCTTATATTATATGACACAACGTAACAAGTAAAAGCGATCAAATGTTAACCAAGAACATACAGAAGTTTGTACACCAGCAAAAGGATCAGATTGACCACAAATTTTGTTTGATTGATGATATGAAGATAACAACCGTATTACGGTATTAGCAAAGCTAAAGTTGCTTTTATAGAAAATTTTCATTATGTTTTTAGGGAATAAAATATTATAAATTTTTAGAAATGTCAACAACAGTTAACTACGTAATTATTAACGGGTTTAGTACATATAGTTGTTTTTTCGTATGAGTCAAAAGTATTTTGAACGTATCAGTTACAAATTAAACATGAGGGATTGAAGAAGAAGAAAAGATTGATCAACGAAACTTAGTAGAAATGTTTAAAACAAAGTTATGCTATGGTCATTTTTATTTCATTTAACGAAACCATGCCAAGTGGGTCTTTCTGCTTTTTGCCACTGTCTTTTAATAGTCGTTATACGTCTCTTTCTCTTAATTGAATAATGTTTCTTTTTATCAAACAAATCTAATTATTATGTGGCTAAACTGGATTTGGTCTCTTTTTGAGTCTTGACAACTGAAAGGCTGTGGCATTAAACAAACCCAGTTGCAAAAGTTAAGCACGTAATCTAAGAAATTATCTTAGAAGATGAGGCGCACTATGGCACCGTGTCAAACCCAAATGTATCAATTTCTGATCTTGTGTCAAACCCAAATGTATCAATTTCTGATCTTATGTCAAACCTAACAAATTAAGTTGTTGAAAGAGTTGGTAAATTGAAAACGAAGTATATAACATAACTGACTTTGTAGTTCAGTTTGTTAGGAACATTCACATTTGCATATTTTGTTTTCAACTGTTCATATATATTGCTTTGTATTTTAAAAGAATCAAACAATCTATTTTATTGCATTTAATCTTTACTTTGTTGGAGAAAGTCACGAATTTAAATTTCATAGAAAAAAATTATTGAAAAAACTCTGAAGAATTTAGTTGAATTCATTTTGTGTAAAATTTCGTTGATCATATTACTGAATGTCAAAATTCAAAACCAAAAATTTATTATTATGCAAAAAAAAAAAAAAAAAAACTGATCAATATCGTATTACAACAATCACGCTATAGCTGTCTAGTTGAATGAATCACATCACACAAGATTTAAAACTATATACCGCCCCGGAAAATAATCTAAAACAACAAAGCTAGAGCAATGGACAAAAAGGAAGCGGAAAGGCCAGCGGCGCCGAGAGAAGCTGCTGCATTTGGTGGTGGTGGTGCTGCACCTTCAGGTGTCGGTGACGACGGAGTAGTTGGGGTGGTTGGAGTTCCAGATGGAGGGGTGGCACTAGAGCCTGGAGGGGTGGCACTGCTGCTTGGAGGAGTGGCGGTCGAGGAAGGTGGCGTGGCGGTGGTGCTGCCGGAGGTGACATTGATGGCAAGCTTCTGGCCTCCGACACAGTGGCCGGTGAAAGTGCAGATGAAGAAATTCTCGCCGGTGGTGTTGAGAGTGATTCTCGTTGGTGGGTTCGTGAACAGAGCGAGGGTGTTGCTGGTGTTGCATGAGTCGTAGTTTGCCTTGGTCACCTCTGCCACGTCGTGTGTTCCGTTCAAATAGTTGAACACTGCACAATAAAAAAACAGAATCAACACCTTAAAGACTAACTAATTTAAAAAAAAAAAAAACGTAAATTGTTTACGAGGCAAAAAATCTGAACTATTTTGATTTGCGTGACAAGAGATCGAACTCAAAAAGAATTGGTGACTTCGTCACGACATGCCACCCTTTCAAGGCCGGAATACTCCAGAGCATTCAGGCATAAATACTCTCCAGAAAAACAATCCCAAAAGACCATATTTAGCGTAATTGAGGCTTACCTAGAGTGTCACCAACCAAAAAGGTCTTGTTAGCAGCCCAAGTTTGGTAAGAGCCTGGAGGGAGGACGGTCCATCCGGAGTTGTTGCCAACGGTCCAAGTGACAGGTGCTCTTGTGGAGCTTGGTGTTGGTGCTGGGACAGAGGCCGGTGGTGAAGGTGGAGGAGGAGGAGGAGGAGTAGTACTTGGAGCCGGAGCCGGAGCCGGAGAAGAAGCTCCGTTCACATTGATGGACAATTTCTGACCGGCACTGCAATGGCCAGCGAAGGTGCAGATGTAGTAATGCTCCCCTGAAGAGCTAAGAGTGATATTTGTAGGGCCGGCACTCTGCAAAGTAATGGGACTAGTTACATTGCAAGCATCAAAAGCTGGCTTTGTCACTTCCGCCACGTCATGACTTCCGCTCGTAAATGTGAATACTACAAAGCACAAAGTTCAAGAAAATTAGCACGAAACATTGAATTAAGTTCACATAAATAAATGGTCATCAAACGAAAACTTATTTTGTTGAAATTAGTATGAAACATATAACTAAGTGTATAAAAACAAGACAGTTATCAAAGGATGCTCATTTAGTTGAAATTATATATACCAAGAGTGTCGCCGACAACGAAGGTTTTGTTGGCAGCCCATGTAGCATAAGCTGCGGCGCCACCGGGAGGGACAACCCAACTCAACCCATCGCCCACTTGGTAATTAGTTGCCGCTGCCGCCGAGCTCATTAGCAAAGCGGCCGCTGCCACGGCTGCGAAAAACGCCATGTTTGTGTTCCTTGCCATTGCCCTTGTGTTCTTTGAAGGTCAGGTCGCCCCTGTTTTTTTCCTACTCCCTTTTTTATTTCTCTGTCCGAAAACTTGTAAAACTTTTTGGTTTTTAGAGATTGTTACTGTCATCCCTTCCCTTATATAGAGGAAGGCTTTGTGCTGACCACTAATTTTGGCTGTTTCGGGCCGTTGGATGGATGCCACGTCTGAGGTTCTGTGAGTAACATGGACGGTTCAGGTTTGGATGCCAAGTCCGCCGAGACATGGGACTTGTGGAAACTCAGATTTCCGCGTGAGAGGCTGAGAGCTTAGACTAGTCATTGCTTATATCTTTAGAAAGTATAGTTAATGGAAATCTTTAAGGGTAGGAATTTTTAATATTTTTTTTTTTACAAAATAGGGATTAGTTGTGGAGTCTACATTACATTAAACTTTAACAATCCGAACAATTTATTTTTTAAGTTGCACCTCATAGATCATCATTGTAAAGTATTAGTCAAATCGAAAATGTTTAAGACATCTAATTGAGTTCAAAGAAATTAACGAATACTTTGTTATATAAAAAACAATGAAATTTTATTTTAATAATTAAATAAGAAAATTGTTTCGAATTGAATTGAATTTTTGTAAGGATGATCTATGAAACGAGACTTACAAAATAGACAATTTGGATCGTTGAAGTTTAATGTGAAGTGGATGCACACCTAATCTCATTTAAAAAAAAAAATAAGAATCCCTTTGCATAAAAGGCCTAATAATTAATAACTAAAACACGTGAGAAAAATCGACAGCTACCGAATAAAAAAGGTTAAAAGGAAGGACTCGTATCAAGTTACCAAGGAAATTTCCTAATAAATAATGAAGTAGTTTAATTTTTTTTAATATATAGGAAAATTGGAGAAATGTGAATGATGGAAATTGTCAAACCTAGACTGTAGCAGTAGTTGGCCAATGTGGACTCGTTAAAGCCTATTGTTGTGCGACACTTCCTCCGTTTTTAGGTTTTCCTTTTATGACTAAAAATTTGAGTCAATAAACCAATGGTAATGATGATTTAATACGATGCATGAGTGTGGTGTTGGACGAAGGGTATGACTAATTTTAGGTGGGATCGGAAAAGGTTAAAGACATTTCAGTCCATCTTTGATTACAATTAAATAACACACGTTCTTATAAAATTTTAAATTAGAGAATCACTTGTGTTTTTGTTAGCTTCGTGCATCAAACCCAAGACCATAAAGAAACTTGACTTGAAATTCTACTGCAATTCCATTGCACCACTTGGCGTGATTTTTTAATTTATTAGGGTTCACGATTGTTTTTCTTGTTTATAATCAGTTCACCAAAAAAATAAAATAATTAGTTATATATTTATATATACAACTTTTAACTCAATAAGAGAATGAAGGTTTGAAAAGATGTATTTTCGCGTGGTATTGCCGTCTTGACAATTTGATTTATTAATAAGCATAAATAATTCTAAAATAAACGAACAAGTAAACGAACTTACAATGATAAACAGTTTTCTTCTCCTCGTTCCTACAACTCACCTCAAGTATCCACTTGATTATCTAAGGAGTTATTAATTCATTTCATTCCAATCTTAGATACCTAACGAAATCTTACGCTTTGCTTTCCATAAAAAAGACTTCCATCTAAGTGCTAATATATATGATAATATCCTTCTCTCCAGCTCTTTCTCCACAGGCGTTGTGGGATGAGGAACAGAAAGGGAGAAAACCATCAATGGCCACCGTTCAATCCGTCCGAATACTAGCAATAACCAAAGACAGCCCGTGGTGTTGATCCACATTGCTAGAACTTTATCATTACCAGAAAGCCAGAATATTTGAAGTGTTAGTGAGACTGCACCACAGAGCCAGAATATATACAAAGTTACAAAGCCAGGAATAATAATCAAACTTGTTACTTAAAAGGAACAAAGTGGCCTGCTTTAATTTGCTCATAGGCTTCTTGAGGTTTGGTTCATTTTTGAGAGGTTTTTTTAGCTAAAATGGTCGTTGAGATTATCATAACTCTTCACTTTGATCCTTGAGACTGAAAATCGATAGAAGTGGTCCCTGAGTTTGTCCACCGTAAATCATTTTCGTCATACCGTGAAAGATCTCCGTTAAATTGAGGGTATTTTTGTCCAATCAACTCCTCTACTTGCTTTTCCATTTAATGGAGATTTTTCACGAAAATAACCAAAATGATTGACGGTGGACAAACTTAGAGACCACTTATATTGATTTTCAATGTCAGGAGTCAAAGTGAAGAGTTATGCTAATCTCAGAGACCATTTTGACGAAAAAGTTTTTTTAAGACTATATGATGCTTCAATTCCCAAAACTATTTGCCTAATATTGCAGGGTTCCCTTAAGTTATAAGGGACTAAAATTGTTTTTTTTTTATTACAATCGATATTCTATACTAAGAAGAATGAGTTAAAGAGAAAGACTCTAATCGTTAGACAATCCAGCACTTGTAACACTAGATCGATTTCATTTCACTAGCAAAATAAGGAAGGAATCTATGTGGGCTCATTCCATTACTCCTAGAATTTTACACATAATTGTCAGCTAGCAACTAGTTTGGTTCATTCTTATTATCCTAATGTTACTAACATCAACTAATTGACTAGTGTTTAAATCAGAATAGATAGTTTTCATTAGATCACAACCCTAAGTAAGCAAATAAAAGTCCTTTGAACATGATCCTAACAAGGGGCAGTTAATTAGCTAGATATGTGAAATTAAATTCAGTTTCAACTTCTGCCTTGGTTGTGGACATTTATAAAATAAAAAATCATAATGCTCGGAAACAATACTTGGATACTTAACAATTAGTATCCAAAATAATAACCACATGAAATGACCCAATGAGAACAAACCATCTGTTACAACTTTAATTTATAAACGTGTAACCAAACACAATATTAACCTCACATCCAAACATTCCCTTTCTTCCTCAATGCCTCCCCCTTCCTGCCTCTCTCCTCCTTGCTTCTTCCATGGTCTCAGTGCCAGAAACCTTGTCCTCCCCAACGCTTCCGTTAACCTCCTCTCATCCGCCGGTGCCACCCACTTCTCCTCTAACCTTTCTCTGTCGACCCCGCCCCAAAATCCTCCTATCTTTATCATGGAAGCCATGGCAGCACTCAGCCGTTGTCGGGCTTCTCCGTCATGGAATTCATGGCGGTACATAAGCCCAAATTTCCCCAAATAATTTCAACCTCCATCGTAATTTTTCTTCTGGGTGAAATTTCCTTCGTAAGGTTAGTAAGATGGATATGATTTGTCATGGGTTGGTGAAATTTGGGGGTAGAGCTGCCATGGCTTCGGGAGAAAGGGGAGGGAGGCGGTTGGTGGACGTATGGCAGCTGTGTTCTTAGCGAGAGAGATGGTGGTTGTTTGGAAACTAGTAAAAGAGAAAAATGGTGTGTTTGGTTAGAAAGATAGTGGGAGTTTGGGGAGAGTTTTATTTGATAGGTGTTTTAAATTTAGTGGTCCTTCGATGATCAGTAACTTAAGTACTTTCTAATGAGTACCCAAGTATTATCCTGTGCTCGGAATTATATTCATTGCAATATATTAGTTTAAGCAAGGAGACTTTGCTCCAACTACCAAACTCCATGGTTTATTTATTTGTTTTATATAATTTTGATTAACCCAACTCCATCGTTTGTTTCCAAGAACTTTCCAAGTGACTGACTGTTGCCTGGAGCAAAGTTTATTTCTTTGGAATCTTAGGGATTTTGTAATCGTGACCGTTCATCGTACACCATACGGTCATAAATTATTTCAAAATTTAAATTTAAATTTAAATTTAAATATTACCTAACGAAAACTAACCGCACGATGTATGATGAACGATCACGATCGAGAGATCCCTAGAATCAATCCCCAAGAAAAGGATCCAGCGAGGATCCTTTTCCTATTTCTGTAATCTAGTTTGGAGTTTTATGATATATAAATATAGGTAGTGCTATCTACATACCTATTTTTACTTCTCACACACTTTTTTCAATTTTCGGCCGTTGGATCGAATGAATTTAAGAATATCAATGGTAAAAAATAACAAAGGTATGTGGAAGGTAAAAAAGGTGTGTAAATAGCACTACCCTAAATATAACATTGTGAATCAGTGATAATTTTTTTCATATTTGTAAGTGAAAAATTTAGTGATGATATTTCATTTATATGTATATGACGATGACGTATGGTATTCATGTTGAATTTTATACTTATTATGGTTGTCCATTGTGTGATTTAGGGTATAAGAATATCGTTTTATATATAAAAAAAAAAGGGGCAAGTGGACAAAAAAAAGCAATTGGCAGCAGTTGTTTGTATATAACTAGAGTAAAGGAACGTACATACAACCAGGATTATTACGAAGGCCAAAGGTGAATACAAAAGCAAAATCATAAAATATAAATCAAATAAAATCAATACAGCCTCATAGTATGTACTGCAATTATATAGAACATATTCCAAAGGAATTACAAATATCAACATGAGCTAGCCACATGGCTAGCTAGTGACTAATGATCAATAGAAGAAAGCTGCCACGGCAATGAGCAAGAAGGTGAAGTAGCCGCTGCCAATCCTGGATGGGGCTGAGCTGAATGGAGCATGAGCAGCGCCTGGTCCACTTGTGCCGTGAGGAGTAGGCGAGGAAGGTGCCATGGAACCCGATGGTGTCTTGGCCGATGGTGGTTGGGCTGTGCTTGATGTCACGTTAATGGCTAGCTTTTGGCCCAATAGGCAGTGGCGATCGTAGGTGGATATGAAGAAATGCTCACCGCTGGTGTTGAGAAGGATACTCACTGGACTATTTTTGTAAACGGCGATAGTGCTGTTGGTGGTGCAGTTTTCATAAGCTGGCTTGGTCACCAAAGCCACATCGTCTTGTGTTCCATTGACAATGTTGAAAACTACAAAAGCAAGAAAGTAAAACATTGTCAAAGAATTAATAATTTACATGTAAGAAACAGAATTTGATCGGTGTTTAATTAAGCTGGTTATGAAACGGATGTCTATACACGATAAATATACCATGTTGATGCTTTACGTGCGTCATGCAAGATAATATCTGAGTGTATAATTACCTAGAGTGTCTCCGACAATGAAAGTCTTGCCATAGGCCCAAGCAGCATAAGCCTGTTCACCGCCTGGTACAAGCCAACCCAATTTATCACCAACGACGTAAGTCACTGGTCCTCTGGGTGCAGGGCTTGGAGCAGGTGATCCATGTTCGGCAGTCACGTTGATGGCCAGCTTTTGTCCCAACTCACAGTGCTTGTCCTTGGTGCCAATGAAATAGTACTCTCCAGTGGTGTTCAAGGTGAAGTTGGCCGGACTGGTTGTTTTAAGGGTTATGGGGTCTGTCGAATTGCAGTTGTCGAAAGCTTCCTTTGTGACCCTCGCTACATCTTGGTCACCATTTGTAAAGTTGAACACTGAAAAATGAACAACATAAATTCAACACATGCCTACTTGGAAATTCTTTTTTAAAACGTATTTATACTCAGAAGCGAGTGCTTCTGTTAGAAGCATATCAAAGACTCAATTTTTTTTAAGAAAATACATGCAAGTGTCTTTTTTTTTCTAGAAAACACGTCATGTTTTTTGAAGAGACAATTGCTGTGTTTCGTTAAGAAGCACTTCAAATACTTTTCTTAACCCATAAACATTTTAAACTATTTCTGCCAACTGTTGTAAGAACAGTTTTTTTGATCTGAAAACGCTGAATCTAAAAGCACTTCCAATCATTTTAGCTTAAAATTGCTAAACATAATGAAACTTGAGTATATATGTAACGTACCAAGAAGGTCACCAACGGCGAAATGGTGCATGGCGGCCCAACTTTCATAAGCGTATTGACCGCCGGGAGGAACCACCCACCCGATTTTGTCTCCAACCACATGGGTTTCCATTGCTGCTGTGGAGTGAAGCAAACCAACCACTGCTATGGCTAGAAGGGCTATGGAGAGTTCTTTTCCCATATTATCTCTTTGTATTTTGTAAATGCTTTTTTCCTTGTTTTTCTCTATCTTTTATAGAGGTTAGAAGGGAGAAGTTGTGGAGAAGCTTTGCTGATACTTTGACAAACGATAACAAGATTGTTTCCCCAGTTTTATACACGATCGACCAATTATTCAAGGATGTCTAGAACCTAATGACCAATTTACAATTGACTTGGACCCAGTTTGATCTAATTAAATGCCGGCGTGTTTGCATGCCCTTAGTTAAATCTTTTAGTGAGATTATTTGCTACTTGTCTTGAAAGAAAAGAACACAAATCAATAGTATACTCCATTTGTATTTGTTAATTTTGTATAAACAAATACAGATGGGATGGTAATAAAACACTAATTAACTTGTTAATTTATAAATGATATCTTATTATACATGATTTTTTTTTTATAAATTTATTTGTACAAAAGATCAAAACCCTACTATGCAATCCTTCGAGCTTGAAATGATCCACGATCTTCAGCCTAATTAACACGTTTTTGACCATCTGATCTAGCTAATTATCTTCTAAAAGACCTTTTTATTTGCCCTGCATATAATTTGATATAGTTTTAAAGCCCAGCTAGGATAAAAAAGTCAGACTTTCTGAACTTTTCATTATCTAGTTCTTGCCTGGAGATTGCTCTACCCCGATTCTATGTGACCAAATTTCCAAGGATATCATCATTTTTGCCATGACACTATGGAGATTGTCTTAGCTTTAATGATTACAGAAATTTGATGCCGCTACTAACTTTATGTAATTCAAGGGGCAATTTGTTTTAGGTCTCAAATAATTTTGAAAAGGGAAGGGGCATGAGGATATAAAGGTAAAAGAGTCACATATATGTGAAAGGAAAAACTTTGTAATTGCTTATAAGAGGTTGGGTTACTCAAGGTTTTCCCCTTCACCGATGTGAGATTATTTTACCTTCACATCCTCACAAGGGAACTCTCTCACCTTCACATCCTCACAAGGGGACTCTCTTGAAAGAGATACTCTCTATGGACTCTCTGTCACCTCGCAGTTTAACGTCAATTTTCGTGCCAACGTTAAACATTGTGTCTAAAATATGAGGTGGCAAAGAATTTATGGAGAGCTCCACTTTTGAGAGCTCCCCTTAATTGGAAAGGATAATTGGTTTTATTGGTCTTAATTGAAGAAAATAATTAAATTAATTGACGTATCGTAAAAAAATGAAATGACACATACGGAATATGAAATATTTATTGATCTAAACTAAATTTTTTGTTTATTCATGGGCATGACCATTGCATATTATTCTTTCCATGATGAAGAATTATTAGTCCATTATTACTGCTCTGGAGTTTTGAGAGGAAATTTCCTTCTATCTTATTTGTCTCATATTAGTTCATTTGAAAAGTTTCACATACCTTATAACAGCAGGCCCCTCTTACAATTGGAGAGATGAATCATGGAGTGCAAAACTGGTTAGGGGCACTTGGACTCTAATAATTAAAATCAATAATAATTATTTTATTAATTTTTAAACCAACAAACTCATCATTTCGAATGAAGTCTGAGATGACAAAAGAATATCATAGCAGCACACACCCCTTATGAGAAGATGCCTACCAGAAGACACATATCAGGTTCATACCTGTTGTGAACAGGTATGTTGATGCACAAAATCAGCGAGGACTTTGGTACAACAGAAAGTGTCAGGTTTGTGACCTTCGCTTGGTTGCTTCGATCACTAGTGAAGATAAGTACGTAAATGAATAAGGACAGGGAAGCAAACACAAGATGTACGTGGTTCACCCAGATCGGCTACGTCCACGGAGTAGAGGAGTTCTCATTAATTGTAAAGGGTTTATACAAATACATAGGTTCAAGCTCTCATTTTGTGAGTTCTAGTGAATAGTTTAGTACAAAATGACATTAGAGATTATTGTGGGAGAATGATCCCTATTTATAGAGGAGAGTTTCTAGTTTTGTTATAACATTGACACGTGTCGTGTTGTGATTGGCTTCTGATGTTGACACGTGTCGAGCTGTGATTGGCTTCTGATGTCGACACGTGTCGCATTGTGATTGGCCTCCTGGTTGAAGGGAAGCTCTTCTGGGTCCTTGACGGTATAACGTTGACCGGTGCTCAGTAGTTTCGGGATTGGTCAAGTATGGTACAAACAAGGTATATGTCAATTGTATCTACATCCATTTGCATTGCATTTAGAACACAGAAAAAAAAAAAAAAAAACGAATCCTTTCTTCTGAAATATCAAAACCTTCTTGTTGAGAGAACCACAAAGATATTTGTCAGAAACTAATTTTTTCGATGTTGGAATTCTAGTTTAGATCGTTGAATCCTGATGAAGCAGATGCCTACATAACTTCAAGCATAGAATAGGGACGAATTTATGTTTCAAGGACGTTGCGGTATGCAAGCCTCGATCTTCACTTCGTTTGTTTAAATATGTTTTTTTATTCAACATACATTGTTGTCATTTATTTGTTTATTATCATATTTGAATATATATATCATCGATTGTCGATAAAACATCCAAAAATTGCATGATGACCATTCTAACAAACACATGTACACCATCTCGGTTACATCTATGAAGGAAATAATAATTTCTGCATTGAAATAATATATCAATATATTGATAAATAAATCATAAAAAATTCAAAGTTTGCTACCTTATTGTGTGTGTGTGGGTTGGTTGTGTTTAAATAAACAAAAACATTGGGATGAATAGTAAACCTAAGAGAGTCAAGATACATAGAACCATCGTCTTAATTTCAATATTGTAATTTCCTACCAGATGCACAAAGACAAACTTGAGTAGGTGAAAGTCGACGCAGAAAACAGGAGTATTGTTAAACCCAAATTAAGATATCTTTGCAAGTGGGTCGTTATCAAATACTTGTCAGCTTAATAAGAAAATTATATACAACATCACATGCTGTGGAGTCTAGAGGAACTGGCCAAATCAACCTTCGGTTGCAGGGCTTTACTAGCTCAGTTCCATTCATTTTTTTATTATGCACATTAATATTAGATGAATGTGAAGAAAGTTGAAATTCTGTATCGGGGTATTAAGGGACTTTACGCGTGTTTTTAAAGAATTTGACTACTTTTCATATTGTTAATAATTAGTTTTATGATACAATCTCAATTTTTTTTCATGATATCAGAGTCACGTTACCAACATGCTCCCATAACATTAAATATGTTGTCCACGTTCTAAGCTTAAATGACCATACGGTCCATACATGCGAACAAAGTGTTGAGAGTGCACATCTCACACTAGAGAATTCAAATACCTTGCACGTCTTTATAAAAAATTGAGCTGCACCCTATATTATCTATTAATTTTACAATGAAAACATCAACTTAAGCACAGTTCCACAAAATGAATTGAAGAAACATAAGACTAATGCATCGATTAAAATGTTGTGTTCCAAGTTTTGATTTTAAGGACACTAAACGTGGAAATAATTCAGTACGTATTTCTTAGAACGTGACAACAAGACTTCTAGAAGAGCATATATTTTATGAACCTCATGTGCATTTCGTGAGCAGTAGATGAGCAGGGCATGTTACGCTTCAAAACCTTCCTACCGAACACCCCTTTAATTTAAAAAAAAAAAAAACTAATGAAAATGATTTAAAAACTTTGAGTTTTAACGATAATGACAAAATAAATAGTAAAGTAAATAGTATCAGGATTAACTTTTTATATAAAAATATGATTTTTCGTTAAAGTAAACAGTACCAAGAACTTTTGTTAAAATTCCCTTAATTTAATAATTTGACAAAGTTTTCCAACAAGGCGGTTTCTAGGGCTCAAGAAATATGTATATGAAACTACCCTCGTTTAAATAGTCTGCAATATTGAATATTGAATATTGAATTCATTTGTTAGGTGTCAAATAATGCACCCATCATGATGCGACAACAAGTTTAATATTATTGATCACCAATTAGTCAATGACAAGGAAAGAATTGGTGCAGAAGAGGATTGGTAGAAAACGGAAAGAGATCCTCACCGATCTCTCCCTCCAAAGCTCAAGAATCAAGTGATTTGAACTTTTGAAATTTGATCCAACAATAAAAACTTATTATAGCTTTTGAAAGTTGTTACTAACTTCTTTGTTTTTAACCGTTGGATTAAATTTCAAAGATCCGGATCACTTGATCTCTAAGCTTTGGAGGGAGAGATCCGGATCTCTTTCCGTAGAAAACTACCACTGACTGCTCCTGTCACACCCTTATTTAAAATAGGTACTTCGCTCATGCATGCAACCTCTGCCAATGAACTAGATTTGGATAAAACATATCAACCAGTTTAGGAGAATACAAGCCTATGTTGGCAAAGCTATATGTAACAACATTCTCCTCTTGAAAGATGTGAGAACAACAAAAAGTCATTTACGCGAATATGGGCTAAACAAGTAAACTATTATGTACGAAGAAGTAAAGGAGGAACAAAATCATTCGAACGGAAACACGAAAATAACATTAGAATAGTCACTTTCTAACCAAAGATAACCCAACCCCTACGATAAGCAAATTCTACACCAATAATTATTGCATAAAGTTCTACAAAGAAATAATTGGGATGACTAATATTATGATTTCTTTTAGACAAACCATCCATATGTTTATCCAAGGATATCGAGGAGGGGACCATAGCACGAGACGAATACTAGGGGCCTTGCGAGGAATATGCTGAATCTAGAGAAGAAATGATACAAGTATCTAAACACTAGGAGTAATCCTAATATGGACGAGACCAGAAATGATAGACATGCAAAGATGATGGAAAGAGATTGAACATCCTTGAAAAATAAAGCTTTCCAAATAACTGAAATAGTAAAAAGACCACAAAGACTTAAAGATTGTGCAACTGACAAGAAAAGAGCTTACACATAAAAGCATCCCAAAAATAGCCAAAGAATCTGAAAAAGGTAAAGATTTACTAAATTGGCATGCTAACCACTTCCAAGTTGTTAAGAAAACTGGCATGCTAACTCACTCTGACTAGTCCTGACAAGTGATGATTTAGATGAGCTGCGGTAATATAGAGGATGCAAGAGTTATCCAGAATGATTGGGCG